GCTGTCGCTTTTACTCATAGACTGTATGAAATAATGGACGTAGCTATCGTAACATCACCTACTTTTTGAGGGCTGCCATTGAAGCCTTCAGTTTTATCATTTCGGTCATCCCCATTGTATTTTTTTGGAGCCAGACGCAACCATATTTGGACAAGAGGGTGGAGCTGTGGAGGAGCAAGGGGTGAACCTGACTCAGAGACTGTGGTGATGCCTTACAGACAGCCTGTCACTCATGCAGTCTCTTCCTTAAACATGCGTAATGTTAAGCTTTAATAAAATGTAAATGGTTGAGCAATACAAGAATTCACCCCCATACTGTTGTCATGAATGTTGAAATTAGCTATAGAGACCAAAATCGATTTTTGTACCGTGCTGTAAACTTATTGGTTTTAACTGTAAAGTTGGGCATTTTAACATGGGGGTCTTTGGGGATTTACTCCATTTTGGAGCCAGCCTCAAGTGGCCATTCGATGAACTGCGGTTTTTGGCACTTCCACATTGGCTTAATTTTTTCAGCCCAGAGGTTGCCGCTTGGTTTCACGTCAATGAATGAATCACAAGTAAAGAAAATGCAGTAAGTAGTTCAAATTTCACCCCACAGATTTCATCTCCTAACTCTAAACTCTGTTTTCAAGTTGCCGCTGCTCTGCTCATTTATGTATTTATATTGTTTAGGCTGCATCTGCCTCATTTCTTTGAGAAGCAGACAGGTGACTCCTCAGATTTGTTGTCATGGCACAGACTACTTGATATCAGCTTGATAATGGCACATTGATGTAAAATTTTGAGACCAATAGGAGTATTTTATCCGTTGTGCTTATAGACTATGAATTTTGAATTTGACTAGATTATCACAAATGGAGTATTCACTTTTTTACATGGTCCAATGATGAATTTCAAATAAAAAGTGACAGCGCAGAGACTCATTAAGCTGCCTCCCTGCTGTAGGTGCTGTAGGAGCTGTAGGTCCTTGTGTTGAGTGTGTAGTATACTTTAATGGAACTTCGTGAAGCTGAAATGTCTCACTTCTAATGATTTCGCTGCTGGCAAATTGATATTTGGCTCCAGTGTGTGCAGTTGATGAATGGACGTTACTGTTCTCAACAGACTAATGGTTTTTATGACTGTTGGAAAGTGATCCACCGTTTCATAAATGCAATTAATGTAACCTCTCCTCAGAGATGCTCTGCTAAGCATGCTTGCTACTTTTCTTGCAAATCCTAAGCTAAGCCAACACACTTCAGAGCGAGAGCAGCGAGGGTTTTTTCAGCCGAGCCGCTGAACACTCCAAATCTCCACATGTGGGAATCTGACTGTGATGATGTTTGCTCTGGATGCACACACCCACCCCACTCCATCTCAACAAGAGGGGACATTTCCATGACAAAGGACAATTATTGACTTTCATTGGCTCCGCTTGCTTTGATATCAGCAAGGGGTGTGTCTGTGTGTCTGTGTGTGCGTGCTGGAGGGGGGGACAGGGGGCAGTGGTGGAGGAGAAGAAGAAACAGGGGGACCTGATGAAAGGAGCCGAGTGAGAAAATGCACCCGCTGACCCACGGTGCACTAACAGAAGAGGAGGATCACAGCAGAAAGAAAGAAATCATTCATTAAGGTTTTCTTTCTTTCACTCCTCCTCTCTGCTCCTGTTATCTGTATCCTTCCTCACTTTCTTGCTTGTGTTTTCTTCCTGTCTATCTCCTTCCATCCTTTAACCTCCCCCCCTTTTTTACTTTCTTTCTTTTTATCTGCCTATGACTGATCCTCCCCCTCTCTCTCCCCCCTCCTCCTCCCCTCACAGCCATAATTTAAGGGGCTGAAAGGCACGGCGAGCGGAGAAAGAGGAGAAGAGAGAGCTGAGAAAAAGGGGAGACCCTGCAGATGAGGGCCTTCCTTCACGGACGTGGCACAGATGTGAGGGTGTTTTTGTGAAATGAGTTGGGGAGGGGCGGCGATAGGCTAATTTGCGTGGCATAAAGACGGGGCCCTTTTCATATGCAGAGCGCTACTTTGATGCGCGGCCGATGAAAGCTGGAGGGAGCGTAGGGGAGAGGAAAAGAGAGGGTGACGGAGGGGTTCTTTGTCCCATGACAAGAAGGCATCTGCTCCAGGCTGCCCTCCTCTCCTCCTCTCCTCTGCTATACCGAAGCTCCCACAATGGGCCAGCCCAGAGAGAAAAGTGTCATCAGAGCACCTTAGAAAACAGAACGTGAAAAAACCACAGTCGCTTGGGTCGGCCTGTTTGGAGTACGGGCATGCATATCAATACTGAATTCATTTGTCAAAGATCTGAGAGTACGTACACAGATGCACACTGGATTGTAAAAACATGCAGACATACTGTAGACACATTTACATACGGTAGTTCCACAGCTGACAAAACACATCTTCACTTTGACTGATTGCTCCCATTGAGAAACAAATAAGCCATACAAACTTTCCTCTTTTATGGGACTGGAGATCAATGGCTTGCAGGGTGAAAGGTGTGCATGTGTTTGTGTGCGTGTGCGTATGGTGGAGAGATCAGAGGGAGAGCATGTGCTGAGGTGAGTGACGGTGGTTTCTGTGCGTCCGTGTCAGTCTTAGCTGTGTGCGGACTATAGGAACTTTAGAGAGTGTGTGTGTGTTTATGTGTATTTGTGTGCATGTATGCATATGTGTGTCCTCACGGTGCTGATCACAGGCGGCAGGCTCACCAGGGTCCTCTCACCAAACACTGGCCGATTTCACGCTCGCACAATAGCTGAATCTCTGCAGCAGAGCAGAGGGAGTTTGGCAGGAAGAACTCAAACTGTCTGCTTTGCTATAATACTTAGTTCAGCAGATATTTTACTTAGTTAACCCCCTGTTTGGGTTTAAGATCACATCTGGGTTGCTGTCACTCAAGAAGGTGTCATAAAAAGATGTGTGTGAGATGCATGTGTTTGTTGGTCTGCCCACCACTTTGGCTTCTACTCACGATAACTATTGGACAGATTGAGATGACATTTTGCACAGATGTTCCTGGTCCCTTGATGATTAACACTACAGACTTTGGCGATCATCTGACTTTTCCTCGCATGCCACCATGAGGGTTACACATGTTGCTTTGAGTGAAAATTCTCCACAACTTTGACTGTCATGACATTTTGTACAGACATTAATGGTCCCCACAGGATAAATCATCATAACTTTGATCCCTTAACTTTTCATCCAGTGTCATCATCAGGTCAATGTACATACTTTTTCTAATACTTTATGACCAGGGATCTCATTTTTAAACCCGAAAGAGGCCAATTCCTACGCAAAATGTGTGCCCTATAAAAACAGACTTGATGGGAGAAACCTTGACCCACGCTTACGAACATTTTGGAGACAGGAAATTGGCGACGCACATGGTGAGGAAGTATTATTTGGCACACAGCATTTTTGGCTTTGTCTGTACGTACCTTTTTAGTTTGGGTCCTACCCATTGTTCTATAAATGAGACCCCAGATACTCAAAAAACTTGTGACATTCCCCTCATTCTCAGCTGTAGTTTGATTTTAGTGCAAGACTGTATTACAATGATGGATGCATCCCCAGCGACGTCACACAATGGTTTGTAGACTCCTGTTTTGAAGCCCCAAGTTTGGCATTTTGGCCGTTGCCCATCTTGGATTTTTGGAGCGACTATATTTGGACAAGAGGGTGGAGCCAGGGGATTATGCCTTTCTGTTTTTTTTGTTTGTTTTGTATATTTCTGGTTGAGTTTTTTGGCATGAATTCACCAGAAAACATGGTGAGCAGCATGGAGCCTAATGGAAATGTTACTGTGGTTACCTCTTTTTTATATCTCTTATTCAGTCTCTTTCAAACTAAGTGCCGAATAATTTGGAACAATGTTTGAGTGCTGCTCAGATGGAGACAGATGGAATTTGTGGTGGCACGTCATTGCATCTCATTGGAAAAGGGGTGAAAATTAGCACATCCACCCGCGTGTCATATTTCCATGACTGCTGATCTATAGAATCGGAGCTGGAGCCGATAAATACCTGTGACTACCGCAGAGTCATTTGTCCTGGGAATGAGCCCGATTTTAACCTTTTTTCATTAAAGACAAAAGTCAGGTGTTAGTGGGTGTTTGTCTTTTTTCTCCAGTGGGAAAGGGGCTATAGACCGTGGTGATGGCTTGCAGTCACTGAAAGCGGCCATGCTCTTCGTTATGTGTAACAATTCACCCCTCGTACAGTACACTTTGGGAAAATTAGCTACAGAGACCAAAATTGTGTTTTGTACCAGGCTATAAACATGTTAATTTTTAGCTATGAAATTGGGCATTTTAACATGGGGGTTTATGAAGCCTGAGTCACTCTCAGAGCCAGCCTCCAGTGGCCATTCGAGGAACTGCAGTTTTTAACACTTGAGTGTCAATACACATTTGCTTAAGTACGACCTCACAGAGCCCCCGGCATGGCTGTGGACTGTTTGGATATGTTTGCATCTGTGATGAGCTGCAGATGAAACAAATCTTCTGCTTCTTGAACTGAAACCCATTTTCAGCTTTTTAAAATCTGTTTTCTGTCCCTTAATATCACAGCGTCCATCTATAATCCCCCTTCGAAGGTGGAAATATGAGCATTATGAGCAACATGAGCAGTTTTAAACTACATGAGTCATTTTAAACTCAACTTACCATGGGGCGGCTGTGGCTCAGAGGTAGAGTGTCGTCCACCAATGGGAAGATTGGCGGTACTATCCCTGGCATGTTCAAGTATCCTTGGGCAAGATACTGAACCCCAGTTTGCTCCTGATGGCTGTTCCCTTGTTATGTGTGTGTGTGAATGCTTACTAAGTAGCAGGTGGCACCATGTACGTTAGTCTTGGCCACCAGTGTGTGAATGGCTGAATGTGACATGTGGTGCAAAGCACTATGAATGTCAGAGGATGAGAAAAGCGCTATACATGTGCAGTCCATTTACCATTTACCATCAGGGTAAAAAAAACCTAATAAATAAATTGTTGTTGTCGTCTCATTCTAGGTGATCTTTGCCCTGAACCAGACGTTATTACAGCAGGAGTCTTTAAGAGCAGGAAGCCTACAGGTCCCGTACACCACCGAAGACCTCATCAGGCACTACAACTGTGGAGATCTCAACTCCATCATCTTCAATCATGACACATCACAGGTCAGTCTTACATATTGCTTGTCTTGTTTTTATCTGATCTTATCGAGTGGACTTTAACTACTTTCTCTCTAGTTATTAAGCTAAGGGTCATTGTGACCCCTTGACCTTTTGGAGTGTCCCAGTGACATGACCCTTCACCTTTTACCTTCACCCCTAACCCTCTGACCGACCTTTCATCCCCCCACACCTCCTCCTGCCCACTCCCCTCTACCAGCTTCTCTATACTATCACCAATTTAGCTCTTCTGTTCCTCCTTCCATCATCCTCGTCTTGCCTTTCTCGCTTTTATTGGCTGTTCTTCCATCAAATAATCCCTGTGCACCTTGGTTAGTTCAAATACACATTTTGAGTAATGGGTTTTTAGATATCTCTTTCTTTTGAGAAAGTTGTTTGAAAGCGCTGGGAAAGCCAAAACAAATCCGCTTCCCCTCTTTGTCTTTTCACCTTCATGGCTTGACTGAACAATCACCCCTACACCCTCCAGGTCCCTAACTTCAATAACGTGACGCTGCCACCCAGCGAGCAGGTGACCGCCCAGGAAATAGACAGCTACTTTCGACAGGAACTCATCTACAAGAGGAATGAGAGGATGGGGAAGAGGGTCAAGGCGCTGCTGGAGGAACACCCTGATAAGAGCTTCTTCTTCGCCTTTGGAGCAGGTTGGTGTTAAACACACACTGTCAAGGAACGAAGAACAATATTTTGTGATATTAAAGCATCAGCTCCACAGATGCCAGTGTTTCGGGCTAAAGTGTCAACACATAGGTCTTAAAAGTCCCTGTTCATCAAAGCACTCAATAAGATTACTTTTATCCATACAACAAAATGACTTGAATTCCTCTTTTTGTTAGCAGAGCACTTCTGCAAAGGAGAGCTTAACAAACTGAGCAGCTTAACAAACTCGTGCAGAGAAAGAGAAAACAAAGACAACTTAAGAAAGCTGAGACAGAAATCCCAGCTGATCAGCTTTCTCTTTCTGATCTGCAAAGCATTACAGCTCCATTCAGATGTAGAATTAGAGTATATACTATAATATACAATATGTTTCCACATCCCTCTTTTCCTTTTTGGATGGGAAAAATATCAGGATTAGCAGATTTCACATTGCACCTCAGGACACATCTCAGATTTTTGTGTTTCCCATCTCCTCCTTTGTTGACTCTGTTTGTGAAACTGGTATCGACAAGCAGTCCTGCAACTCATCAGCGGCTTAAATGACTAAACTACACTCGACTAGACTCCGCCATTGATCCACAGCTTTATCAGCTCAGGGTCCAAATAAGACAGAGTTGTCTTTCTCTAAAGCTTAGGCTCAATAAAACATCCTTTTATCAGAGCAGGGCTGACCAGAAACAGACGTCCGGCCTGTTTGAGGTCTTTCACATAGTTTTGGAAATGTCAGTTCAATTCTTTAAATACCTCATGAGTAGCAGCCGCCTGATAAGAGACTTGACTTTAAACAGGGAGGATAAATAGACCAGATAACCGCAAAGAAGATTCCACATAGTTGTCTACTTAAACATGGATGCCTCTGTGTGTGTGTGTGTGTGTGTGTGTGTGTGTGTGTGTGTGTGTGTGTGTATTCGTGTTTCTTGGGTGGACAATGTATATCTAAGGCAGTCTTTATCTGGTGGTTGTTTCATCAAAGCACAGTTAACACCCAATAAAAAAGACAAGGCTGTTTTGTGATAATTTACACAGGCAGGTTTTCAGTCTAGATAAAGTATTTTAAATAGTTTTTATGTCATGCCAAACACGTAACCCTTCCCACACAAAATGGGGCTACATATCCAACAACAAAAATAGAACAAGACTTCTTGGGCATATGCACACAAAACCAAAGGATAAACATTAACTGTAACACCATATGTACCAGTGTTAATTTTGACAGCTATTTTAGTCTTAGTCATAGTCATGAGACAAAAATGCTTAGATTAGTTTTAGTCACATTTTAGTCATTTTTATCCTCCATAGATTGTCTAGTTTTACCTGACAAAAAATTTCTACATATTTTTCAATCTTCAAACTTATCCAGTGAGTCTAATTCATGTGTCAGAAATTATAATTAAGGTGACAGGTTGTTTAAAATTTTCAATTAGACAGTTTTTTCCACAACTACAAATAATTTCTACACACTTACAACTGTCATTTCCAGCAGTGTTTGACAGGCTTAAGGGGGGATTTACAAACAAACACTTACTGATCGTCATTTGAAAAGCTCAACATCTTTTGATTTATGCTCTCAAAAACTTTGGCACCACAAATAACTAATCTGAGACAACTAGGAATTATAACCAGGTTCATTTTAAACACTGATTTATCGATCTCACTGTTACGAAGCAGAAAAATAACTTGTGTACCATGTTAGTCTGGATGTCTCACAGAGTTGGTGATTAAGACATAACTTTCATCTCTGTCTGAGAAAACTGCTGAGTTCAGACGGTTTACTCGCAGCACAGCTACACTCACAGATAACTGAGCCTCCTACCTGCCTGTCAGACAGCAATCAGTCCGCAAACCCTCTTGAGACAGTCTGGAGATAGTGGAATCCTGTGGAGATCAACAGATGCAAAGTCTGGCGGCTGATGGCTGCTTGCTCCACTGCCATTCAGTGACTTACAAGCAGAGCTAACTGCTAACAGCCACTACTGCAACCAACAAACTTCCACAAATCCACTTAACACTTCTGCCAGTTACAGTCAGACACACACGGCTGATTATTTACTGCTGAATTACAGCTCATAACTCAAACCATCGGCTGACGCTGCTCTGGTGTGCATGTTTTCCTAGCTAGGGGAACATCCCAGCACAGACTACTCACTGGAGTTTACCAGCCTGTCGCTCATGCAGCATTTGAAGATATTTACAAACACGGCCATTCTTGGCTTTCAAAGCTCGATAGTCCACCACGAACATTTTTGTCATATCTCATCTTCGAAAATGAAACATAGATATCGTCTGATCAAGATCAATGATCAAGATCCATTTTTAGCTCGTCATCGTCTCGTTTTTGTCATGGAACAAGGTTCTTGATGAAAAGATTTCGTCATAGTTTTTATATGTACATAGGGTTAAATTATAGACCACATAGCAGCAGAAAGAATAAAAATGCTACAGGCCTAAACACACATCTGCAGACAAATAACCATTTCCACGAATAAGTAGTCTTAGTTGTAGTGGCCAGATGTCTTCAAACTGTTTCCAGCAGGGTCCCTGTACCAGGAATGAGACATTCAGTAAAACCTTCGTTGCTGCTTGGAGAAACATCATTTATAGGGCTGCAACTAACAATTGTTTTCATTGATTCTTTTCTTGATTCATCAGTCAGTCAATTACTTTGTCAGTAAATTGTCAGAAAATATTTAAAACAACAACACAAAAATAGCGCATTACACTTATTTGGCCCTCAGTCCAAACCCCAAACAGATTACATTTTCTATCAAATATGATACAAACATCAAATACTCACATTTGAGAAATTAAAAATGTGCGTATTGGCTTGGCTACTAAAATGATTAATCAACTGTCAAAATAGTTGTTTACTTTCAACTGACTAATTGATTGATCTTTACAGCTGTAATTACTTTTTACTTACAGATACACATATTTGTATTTACAACTGTTTTGTAAATAATTTTGAAAAAACTTTCACTCAAGGAAATCACCAGAAATCAAGCATCCATGAGTCAGTTTTGATGCAGACTTTAAATACTCACACAGAGAAACCAAAAATAAAATCCGGAGTATTAATCATTAATCTATCATCAAGTGTGACAAAATAATGGTGTCGACATTATAATTTAATGAAAGTGTGCTACAGATTAATGCTTCAGCACATCATAAATTTGTAGTTCATCACACTCCCAAATAAACAGCACAATGTGGACTCGTCAATTTTTCATTGAATCCATGAAAACCATCAGATAATTTATGATGTTTTTACAGAGCACATACACTTTGGAAAGAATCTGTTCACCCCAAATTTGATTTAGCTCATTATGGGATATGTATGCAGAAGAGAGGATCGCGTTTCAGTGCCATCAATTTCACAGTCAGATTTTCCTCTTGATGACATCGTCAGAAACGTCCTCATCCAAAGTTTCTTTGGTCATTTAGAAGCAGAGAAGCAGCAAACTCTGAGCAGCGAGAGAGAGAGAGGCCTTCACAGTCTGTTGGTCTCCGAGCTGGCAGGAAACAGCTGAGGAAAAGCAGACACATACACACATGCACACACACACTCAAGCCCTAACAAGGAGTACATTTCACGGCGTGTCCCTGAGGAGGTGCCTTTACAAGGGCTTGGTCTAAAAAGGTGTGTGCCTCTGCGTGTATTTATGAGTGTGTGTGTGTGTGTGTGTGAGAGCTGGTGAGTGAAAGTGATACGGGCAATCAGCCCAGAAGCACTAGTCTTAGACGTACGGAGGGCAGGTTGGGTCGGCATGTACAAGGAACGGGATGAGGCACATTAGGGTGCATGCACATGTGCATACACACACACACACACACACACACACACACACACACACACACACACACAATGAACGAACACACACCCCCAGCCCCCAAGACAGACCTGGGTAAAATGTGTCCTTAATTATCCCTGGAGGGGTCAGAGGATACACACACACACACACACACACACACACATTACAATGGAGCCCATTATGTTGGCGTACTCAACTTCCCTGTTACATCAGGTGTGAGACCGCTGTTATCCATGACCATCTCATGTCTCTCTGAATCTGTGCAGAACAGCGTCTTGACAGATTCAGGATGTGATTATTGTCTGTTCTGCATTTTATACTTATATATTTTTTGGCTAATAATTTACTGAGCTGTCCATTTGACATGTTGCAGTGGCCAGAGAGAACTTAAATTGTAATGCTGCAAGCTTTAGGTAAATTATGATTACTTGAAATTCATCCAGACTTCAAACTAAATCGGATTCGGAGGAATTAGCCACATATTTAGCATACCTCTCTTCCCGAGTAATGATCCCATTAGCCTGCAGGGGTTGGCCTGCAGATTCCTGACTGACCTATGTGGAAAAATGTTGAGGGTTTTCATTTTCCCCAGTAATAAGCTTTATTGCCACAACAAGTTAACAAAACAGTTTATACATGATAATTTATTCCCTGTCAAATTGCCCAGTTGGATGTAGATTGTGCTTTGCCAAAGGAAACTTAAGATATCACGAGAGTTAAGCGCAAAAGGGGTTTGGGTATCCTGGTGATTTGGTGTTTATGGAAACCTCATTCATGTTTGTTTGTCAGGATTGATGACCGGACAGAGAAAAAGTACATTGCAGTAACTTTTAATCCAAGACGGAAAGCAGCGTAAACTTTGCCAAAGAGGACCATCACATACACAAGATGATGAGCCTGCACTGTTAATCATTTCTTAAATTAAATATATTTTTGCTATTCATTGCTGCTGCAGTAAAACAAAACATTCCTCGATCATAAGTCTTGATCCGGGGCCAGTTGCATAAAACTCTGTTTAGATTTATGACTAAAACTGTGTGTATGCACCAAAGCAGAAATGTGCATATGCATTTTTTCGTCAGATATTATAAAACCATGTGTACGCCTGATTCTGTTTTATTAATCTTGATTATTGTGGTGCTCGTTGCACGTACACAAGCCTCATTTTCTCATCC